TTATAATTTCTGTTCTTTTACATTTGCTGAGGAGTGCTTTACTTCCAACTATGTGGTCAATTTTGGAATAAGTGCAGTGTGGTGCTGAGAAGAATGTATATTCTGTTGATTTGGGGTGGAGAGTTCTGTAGATGTCTATTAGGTCCGCTTGGTGCAGAGTTGAGTTCAATTCTTGGATATCCTTGTTGACTTTGTCTCGTTGATCTGTCTAATGTTGACAGTGGGGTGTTGAAGTCACCCATTATTATTGTATGGAAGTCTAAGTCTCTTTGTAAGTCTCTTAAAGACTTACTTTATGAATCTGCGTGCTCCTGTATTGGGTGCATATATATTTAGGATAGTTAACTCTTCCTGATGAATTGATACCTTTACCATTATGTAATGGCTTTCTTTGTCTCTTTTGATCTTTGATGGTTTAAAGTCTGTTTTATCAGAGACTAGGATTGCAACCCCTGCTTTTTTTTGTTTTCCATTTGCTTGGTAGATCTTCCTCCATCCCTTTATTTTGAGCCTATGTGTGTCTGCATGTGAGATGGGTCTCCTGAATGCAGCAAACTGATGGGTCTTGACTCTATCCAATTTGCCAGTGTGTGTCTTTTAATTGGACCACTTAGTCCATTTACATTTAAGATTAATATTGTTGTTATGTGTGAACTTGATCCTGTCATTATGCTATTAGCTGGTTATTTTGCTCGCTAGTTGATGCAGTTTCTTCCTAGCATCGATGGACTTTACATTTTGACATGTTTTTGCAATGGCTGGTACCGGTTGTTCCTTTCCATGTTTAGTGCTTCCTTTAGGATCTCTTGTAGGGCAGGCCTGGTGGTGACAAAATCTCTAAACATTTGCTTGTCTGTGAAGGATTTTATTTCTCCTTCACTTATGAAACTTAGTTTGGCTGGATATGAAATTCTGGGTTGAAAATTCTTTAAGAATGTTAAATATTGGCCCCCACTCTCTTCTGGCTTGAAGAGTTTCTGCCGAGAGATCTGCTGTTAGTCTGATGGGCTTCCCTTTGTGTGTAACCCGACTTTTCTCTCTGGCTGCCCTTAACATTTTTTCCTTCATTTCAACTTTGGTGAATCTGACAATTATGTGTCTTGGAGTTGCTCTTCTCGAGAGAGTTTTGTGATTCTCGTATTTTCTAAATTTGAACGTTGGGTGCCTTCCTAGATTGGGGAAGTCTCCTGGGTGAATCCTGCAGAGTGTTTTCCAACTTGGTTCCATTTTCCCCATCACTTTCAGGCCACACCAATCAGACACGTAGATTTGGTCTTTTCACTAAACCCATATTTCTTGGAGGCTTGTTCATTTCTTTTACTCTTTTTCTCTACACTTCTCCTCTCGCTTCCATTTCATTCATTTGATCTTCAATCGCTGATACTCTTCTTCCAGATGAACACTCGAGTTGGTTACTGAAGCTTGTGCATTTGTCACGTAGTTCTCGTGTTATGGTTTTCATCTCTATCAGTTCTTTTAAGGACTTCTCTACATTGGTTATTCTACTTAGCCATTCGTCAAATCTTTTCTCAAGGTTTTTAGTTTATTTGCGCTGGTTACGTAGTTCCTCCTTTAGCTCTGAGAAGTTTGATCGACTGAAGCCTTCTTCTCTCAACTCGTCAAAGTCATTCTCGGTCTAGCTTTGTTCCGTTGCTGGCGATGAGCTGCGTTCCTTTGCAGGGGGAGATGCGCTCTGGTGTTTCGAATTTCCAGCTTTTCTGCACTGCTTTTTCCCCATCTTTGTGGTTTTATCTGCCTTTGGTCTTTGATGATGGTGACGTACCGATGGGGTTTTGGTGTGGGTGTCCTTTCTGTTTGTTAGTTTTCCTTCTAACAGTCAGGACCCTCAACTGTAGGTCTCTTGGAGTTTGCTTGAGGTCCACTCCGGACCCTGTTTGGCTGGGTATCAGCCAGCCAAGGCTGGCTCAGTTGAAAATGTAGAAATCACCCATCTTCTGTGTTGCTCACACTGGGAGCTGGAGGCTGGAGCTGTTCCTATTCAGGCATCTTGGGCACGCCCCCCACAAAGATAATTTCTTGTAGCAATTGTATAGTTTTAGGTTTTACACTTAGGTCAATGACCCATTTCAAGTAAACTTTTTATGTGATGTGAGATATGGGTTGAGAGATTTTTCTTCTTTTATTTTGACCTCAACACTATTTGTAGAAAAGGTTATCCTTAATTTACTGAATTATCTTGGCAACTTTGTCAAAAATCATTTTATAAGTATGGGTCTATTTTTGGACTGTATTCCATTTACCTATATATATTCTTTTACCAATACCACATTGTCTTGATTCCTTTATAGGAAGAAATTATTCTGTTTTATTCCTTTTTAGGAAGTCTTAAACTCAAGTAATGTGAGTCTGCCAACTTTGTTCTTCTTTTTCAAAATTGTATTGGCTATTTTTAAATCCTTTACCTTTTCTGTATAAATTTTAGAATTTTGTCAATTTCTGCCACGAAGGGTTTTAATTCCACTTATGGCATTCTGGAAAAGGCAAAAATTACATTAACAAAAATCAGATTGCTGGTTGCTGGAGGTGGGAGGAAACTGACTACAAAGGGGCACAAAAATTTCTGGGTCATGGGAATGTCTTTACAGCAGCAGTGGTTACTTGACTTTATATCACTATATATCTTTGTCAAAGCTCAGAACTGTATAGCTAGAAGGTTATATTTTACTGTATATAATCAATACCACAACAGACCTGACTTTGAAAAATAAAAAGAACCAGGCTCAATAGTGAATTAGACTGAAATTACATCATGAGCAGTCAGGCACACTCATTTATTATGTAAAAATCTTTCTGATGTTTATTTTTGAATCGCTTATTCTCCATTTTTCTACATTAAAGTATTAAGATTAAATGTGTTATGTGGAAAGGATTTGAGGGAAAACTTTTATTTCAGCTATAGAAATAAATGTGTGTTGAGTTGTGATGTAAAACCTATTTTTTACTGAGAGTCATGGCAAAAATAATTTGAAAAACAGTATCCTAGAAACACTTTTACCCTGTGTGAATAGGAAAACATACAGCAATGTAAATGCTGCATTATTTTGAAATACTAAAAACTTAGTAACCGGATAAATTCCATATAATGGAATGTGTATGCGGCAATTAAAATGAAATTAGAGCTACAACATAAATAACTCTCAAATTTAAGATTGACAAAAAGGAAGCTGAAGCATGTTATATACAGTATGATATCATTTATATGCTTTTAAACATGAAAAATTAAGTGATACATTAGGAATGCAAAACATTCAAGTTTTAGCTAATGGCTGCCTCTTGAATAAAGGGGATTCCAGCCATATCTAGTATTTTATTTTTTAAAAGTAAATATAATAAAATGTTTCCTTTTGTCAAAGCTAGGTGTTTTCTCCATACTCTTTTATGTTCAAATGTGCTTTAGTGGGTAAGAGAGTCATCAGTAACCTAGTCTTGAAAGCCATTCGTTGCAGTGAGTTCTGCCTATAAACCCAGAGGTGAATGCAAAGTAAAAAGTAAAAAAAAAGTTGGGGTGCAGGGAATGCAAAATGGTGAAGAAAAGGCTGGACGTAAAAAGGAATAAAAGCTTATTTGCAGCAATGTGGATGGACCTACTTGTCATTATGTTGAAATATGCCAGGCCCAGAAAGACAGTATCACATATTCTCACATGTGTGAGCTGACAAACTTGATGTCGTGGATACAGAATATAGAATGATACCAGCGTTGTGAGCATGGGAGGGGAAAATGTAGAGAAGCTGGTGAATGGGCACAAACAGAGTTAGATAAAAGACAAGCTGTATTGCTTGATAGCACATTAGAGTGACTATAATTAGCAACAATATATTGTATATTTCAGTGTAGCTAGAAGAGAGGACATGAAATGTATAGAAATGATGAATACTCAAGAGGATGGATACCCCAAATACTGACTTTATTACTATATATATTATGCATGTAACAAATACATGTACCCATAAATATGTAAAATATCATGTATCAGTAAAAGAAAAAGGATAGAGGTAAAAATAGGAGAAATGAGAGCAGTCGGTGCACGTAAGAGTAATATGCTTGTTATACTGTGTGACTACACTGGTTAAGGAAATTCCTGCTGCATATAACCCAAATTTGCCATGAGAGGTTAAGAAAACTTTCCACTTAACAATTTAAAAAATATACAACTAAAACATCCATTATTTAAAAATCAAGATAAAAAAAGAATAGTAATCAAAATTACACCATTGTTGATATACTGTATTCCCTTCTAGGTTTTGTGTTAATACATCTGTACATTTTTTCTTTTTTAAAAAGAAAATGAGATCATACTAAAAGAATCACACTGTTTTATAACCTTTTTTCCCATTCACCAATATGTACTGAAAAACAATATTTTAATGGCTGTATAGTTTTTCCATTATGTTAATGTGTCAATTTACTATGAATCTCCTGTCGTGAGTTATTTTAATTCTAATGTTTCACTAAACATTTTTTAAAACATCTGCAGTAGAATGATAACATCCATCTTTATTTCCCCAAGATAAGTTTGTAGATGCTGAGTGAAAAGGTATGCATATTTTTGAGGGTTTTAGATCCTCTCTAGAATTCTACTTTTCCTGTTAGTATAGGAGAAATAAGATCACTGAAATGAAAAGTATATATGTGAGACATTATCAGTTATTCATAGACATGTGTAGATTTTATTTGGAATGCTACAAGTAACATGTTATATACTACTTGGGTCAAAATAAGCTCATTACAAAATAGGTTCTCAAGTAGTTCATTATTCTAGTTAAGGATAAATTGGGTCCTTAAGTTTCCCTTTTTTATCTAAGACATTTTCCTTTGTAAAGAGTACCTGGACACTCAGAAGTACCAATGGATTTTCTTTTCTCTATTTTTTAAAATAAAATTAAGACTTCATGACTCCTCTCCTTTAAGTACTGTAAGAGAAAATGCTCTTGGAATAAAAACCTCTAAGATACATGACAAAATAAGCTGTCCTCAACAGATAAAATCTTCACCTACTTTGGTCACCAAGGAGGTTCAAATTAGCTGGGTATTAGAAAAGTTTCCATCAGTAGGAAAGGGAAAGCATCCTCTAGAACTAGATCCGTGGTGAGGATATCAATTGAAAGGACATACATGGGATGAAGGCATAAATAAGGTAGAGTCATTGTGGGGATGGCTCATAGAGGAAGAGATGTCTGTGAATTTATCTTCAAATAATTTTCTCATAAATCTTAACAAGTTAACAGATCTCAAACCCAGGAGCTATCCAAGTGGTGCAGTGATAAGCGTAGTGCCCCAAGTACATTTTTCTTTTCATTGGTATTCACATAACTAGATACAGTAATAAATGTAATTAGTAAATAGTGAAGTCCATTGTGAAAAGGGCCATGTTTTTTTTTATTTTGCGAGCTTTTAACACGTTTAATAGTAGTAGGCAGTCAATCACTGTTGAACTAAATAACTCATTCTTTTATTCTTAACAGACTGGATTATGGACAGAACTTGGAAATATTGAGAATAATTTCTTAAAGCCACTTCATATAGGACTTAATATGTCAAAAGCACATTATGAAGCAGAAATTAAAAATAGCCAAGGTTGGTAATGTGCAATTTTGTTTTCAGTTAGGTATAAAAAGTAGTCCAATTTTGCAACTGTCATATTCAAATTTAAGAACTTTTTAAAAATCTTATACTTGTTTAGAGACCATAACAGCTAAGCCATTTTATTTATAGTTAAAATTCTTAGCAGATCTATAAGCTAATTTACCTAAAGTCAGGTTAATGAAGACTTAAACCAAATTAAAGCATATATTTTAAAGCCTCAAGCTCTAAGAATCTGTATTACAGCTTTTCCATTTGAGTAGCATTCCTTTGGTATTGCATTTCACCCTCAAGTAAATCCATACAAATTATGAAAAAAATCTTAGATCCAGAATTTAAGTCAACAATTCTGTAACAATCATGTGATCTCTTCCATATATCTGTGGTGGTGCTTTTATAGGCATTTCCAGAAATTTTCTTTTTTAGTATAATGGCTGTAATTGATTATATACTAAAGAAAATAGTTTGATGAATCCTATACATGCCAAAATAATGCTGTTTATCTAAAGAAGTATTAATTCACATGTTGCAGAATTTTGATAGTTCATTCTATTTGCTTATAGCTTAAGTATACCCTGAGCTGTTAAACAGTGGACTTAATTTTTACAAATAACTGACACGTTTTAAGTTAATGAATGATGAAAGTAGCTTATACATTTGTTATTGATATGAGAGTTTTTTAAGTGTCACACATGATTTTTTTCTTTTCTTACAGAGGCCCAGAAATCTAAAGATCTTTGTTCTATAACTGTAGGTGGAGAAGAGATCCCTAATATGCCTCCTGAAATGCAGCTTAAGGTGATCTGAAATTTTCTTTCCTTTTTCTTTAGAAACAGGATCTTGCTGTCTTGCCCAAGCTGGAGTGCAGTGGCATGATTGTGGCTCACTGCAGCTTCAACTCCCTGGGCTCAAGTGATCCTCCCACCTCAGACTCCCGATTAGCCAGGACTACAGGTGCACACCACCATGCCTGGCTAATTTTTAGTAGAGATAGGGTCTCACTATGTTGCTCAGGCTGGTCTCCCACTCCTGGCCTCTAGTAATCCTCTCTCCTCAGCCTCCCAAAGCACAGAAATTACAGGTGTGAACCACTCTACCTGGTCTTAAATATTCCTGAGCTACCTCCAGCTGAAATCTTTTCTATGTTTTGCTTTGTTTGGCTTTAAAGATAGCATTAATAACATTACTTTTTCTTGGCATTGCAGGTCCTACATTCAGCTCTTTTCACATTTGATTTGATTGAAAGTGTTCTAGCTCGAGTGGAAGAACTCATTGAAATAAAAACGAAGTCTACCTCTGAAGAAAATATTGGGATAAAGTGAAAGTTCCACTTCCTTAATAAAATAGAGTAAAAACTCATAAAATAGAGTATTATTTTCCATTATGATTTATTTAATACCATTATAAAAATTTTTCTGTAAAAATTTACTGCTTGAAAAATAAATGTAGCTTCTCTCATTTATCAATTTCTATAATGATATACTATAGAAGTTTTTTTGTTGTTTTAAAGTTATCTAATGGTAAATAATGCCCACATATGTCCTAAATACTATTTTTGAAAATCCAATACAAACTAATAATTTTGTAACTTCATAAAATGTAGTTGAATTGTCTATATTCATTCCTACAGTTTTAGTGAGCTTATAAAAATACTGATACATTTTCTGCTGAAGTTAGATGCTATGTAACATTTCGGAACTCCTAGTGTCAAGTTGGCTATCACACCAGTGTAAATGAGTAGAAAGTTTTGAATTCAGGCCAGTTGACTTTTTTCTTAGCTTCTCTTTTCCTGGCTTAGGTGGAGTCTTTGGGAGCAGAGTCCCATCACCACCTCTCCAGCAGAAGTTATAATAGGAAAACATCTACAAAGATTAGTTTTAGAAATATGGAAAAAAAACTACATATGACTTTAAGAAACTGATTAGAAAATTCTGTATTTTTATTTCCTACTAAATACTTGTCCATCTAAAAAGCTACACCTGAGTTTTATGATATATGTATGTACCAATCCTTTGCTAAACAGCGTTAAAGAAATCTCAGTGAAACTCCTAAAATAAAATCACTTTTAATTGTATACATGTTATTTCAAATTAATATAAATGTCTTTAGATATTTGATTATAATTTAACAGTTCTAATTATTTTCACATTCTTTGAGAAGAGCATTAAGTTGGTAGTCTAATTTGGGTTAACTGAATCACTATTCAGTTGTATCTTCTGAAGTGTTTTCCAAACAGGACTTTGCTCAATGATGTAAGCTTTAGCTGTTATCATTCTGTAGCAAATGCTATCTATGTATGGTTTGGAGGTAGTCTGGAAGAAGATACAAAGATCCAGCATTATTTACAGAAATAAGATATTTTTACAAGGTCACATTTAAAAATAACTAACTTTCATTCTTTCAGCAAATCTCCTGATCATCTTTGTGCTAAACACTATGTGTGAGTTACTAGAGTAGTCAACAGGAAAATACTTAGTTTCTATCCAAGGAATTTCAAACATGCAAGCCAAAAAGTAGAATACTATGAAAATTGCTTTAATGGGGATATGTTCCAAGTATAAAAGTAAGGAAGACTTAAGTCTGCCTAGGGGGTTTCAGGTGTCTGGGCACACTTTGCAGAGGACAAAAAGCATGAAAAGAAAGTGGACAATTGGTAGATGACATTCCATGAGATAGTATGCTTGCACTCTGACAGTTCATGACTGCAATCTGACCAACTCTTATAACTTTAGAATTTGAATGAAGATATAAGTAACCAATAGGACCAACCAAATGCTCTTTTGGCCCCAAATGAGTCTTAAATGGTAGTGGCTACTGGAAGTTGAGAAGACTTGAGAGACTTAGTTCAGGCTTGGGAAAAAGTTGCATGCTGAAACAGCAACTCCCTCAGGGGAACAGAAGCAAGATATTTGCTAGTCTTGCTCAAAAGGGTGACAACTGGAAGTTAAAAACCTTAAAATGTATATGTGTATGCGTCATATTCCCCAGGTGACTCACCTTTGCTATAGTGCACATAAGATTAATAGCATTTACTGTGTTGTGTACTGGAAGTATTCGTAAGTTACGACCCAGGAATCTGAAAAACAATTCATGATATACAGATCATATAACTTACTGACATGTGTTCTCTCAAGAAAGTAGAAAGAAGAGACAAATCTCTATTGTTTGTTATTTGTCTATGCAATTCATGCCCTGCCTTACTCCACAGAGGATCTGAGATGGCTTTATAGCCAGAACATCACTGACTAAAAGCCTGTTCACTTTTGGCTTGGTCTTGGAGAAGCCCGGGAAGCATCATGAACCCTGTCAACTCGATTCATAGAATACCTTTTTGGCCCATGTTTCATTAAATTTGATAGGTTAACATCACAGTGTTCATCATCTAGCAAAACAAAACTCACCTAAAAGAATTAAGAACTGAAATAAATACAATATAAGAAAAATACATCTATAATGCTATTCTTCCATACCTCTGCTGAATTCTGAACATCAGTTTCCATTCTTCAGGCCCATGGAGGGCAGCAGACAAAACCAAAAAACTATTTTGGTGAATGTTAATAAATTTCTCAATTTTGGCTAGCAATGTTTCTTCGGTTGACAGAATACATTCCTTAGTATCCATTAATAAAAATGCAACTCCTAGGAAAGGTAAATTGAATATAAAACGTCACTTTGTCACAGAGATCAAATTTTGTTATAAACTCAGAATCAACCAAAATAGCTGTAAGTATACCATGTGTCCAAGCCCTAAACTCATAAGGAGTAGAAATTACTATAATGAAATTCCTATACAACAGAATTTAGGTAGTTCTTTGAAGTGCTCTGTATAAAAGAATGACTTGTGCTAAATAAGAGAAAAACATTTTTGGATCAGTAACTACTTTTTTTTCCTAGATGAAGGCATTGTCCACATGAAGATACTGGGTAGTTTTTCATTAAGATGAATTACATTTAAAAAGTTAATTTTTCATGTTATACTTTTAAAATATGTACTAGTGTATTATAAAGGATACAGATGAAGATATGCATAGGGCTAGGTATGTGGGAACGGACATGGAGCTTCAATGCCTTCTCTGGGCCTGCCACCTTCCAGACACCTGCATGTGTTCAGCAACCAAGAATTCTCCTATAATTATTTTTAAAAGCTGGAAATCAGCTAAATAAAGAGTCTTAAGCAAGCCTTCGGCTGGGTGTGGTGGCTCACGCCTGTAATCCCAGCACTTTGGGAGGCCAAGGCAGGCAGATCACAAGGTCAGGAGTTCGAGACCAGCCTGACCAACGTGGTGAAACCCTGTCTCTACTAAAAATACAAAAATTAGCCAGGTGTGGTGGCGTGTGCCTGTAATCACAGCTACTCAGGAGGCTGAGGCAGGAGAATTGCTTGAACTCGGGAGGCAGAGGTTGCAGTGAGCTGAGATCACACCATTGCACTCCAGCCTGGGCGACAGAGCATGACTCCATCTCAAAAAAAAAAAAAAAAAAAAAAGCCTTCAGTGATTTCTTGTTGGGGGAACCTTTCTATCAGAACATAAAGAACTATATAAAAACTAGCCGGGTGTGGTGGCAGGCACCTGTAGTCCCAGCTGCTCGGGAGGCTGAGGCAGGAGAATGGCGTGAACCCGGGAAGCAGAGCTTGCAGTGAGCAGAGATCGCGCCACTGCACTCCAGCCTGGGCGACAAAGCGAGACTCCGTCTCAAAAAATAAAAAATTTTTAAAAAGAATTATATAAGTTAATACACTCAGCAGATATCTGCAATCTCTGAAAGAGTGTCTGTGCCATTAAGAATGGTCCTAAAGGGAAACTTGATTATAGCTCTTCAAACGATGTGGGAGACAGTCTGAGGAAAGTGACTGTGATTATATACTAATTGAGTAAACTTAGGCAACTTACATAACCTGTCGGAATATAAGTTTCCTCTTCTGTAACATGGGAGTAAATTTCTTGTTAGATTTGTCAGAAGAATTAAATTAGATCATGTATATAAAGTAGCCAAGGCAAATATTCACCAAGTATTTTATTTCTCCCTGGAGGGTTCTGTATTTAACCAGAAGAATGAGTTTGAGGCTATACCACTTTCAGCCTGGAGATCTATTCTAGGAGCTTTTTTGAAAGTGCTTGTCTTCAAAACTGCTAGAAGAGAAGTCTATTTGCAACCCTCCAGATAAAATCCTTTACCTCTACCTTTTTAAAGATCACTTCTGTCATTTCTCAAGCAAAGGTGGAGCTTCCCCCTTCCCATCTCCCCAGGCTTCTCTTATCCTAATCTAATTCCTTACTGGACTTTTGTCCATGACTAACAGTTGTACCAGTTGTCATTTCATGAACATTTATTTGTCCCCATGATTCTTTTAGTTAATATTTATATTATATCCAGCAAACAAATCAATACAAACAAATCAATACAAATTGATGAAAAACATTTTTTTTTTTTTTTGTATATCAGTTTTGACAAATGTTGTGGCCTCTGTTAATATAAGTAATAAACTTTCATGTAAGTATAGATTGTTGGGTAAGTGGCTTTTTCTATTTTCACTCAGTTCCAAAGCAAGCAGTTTTTTCCCATCTTCTACCAGACTCCACTAGTTCAGCTTTATTTTAACAATTGTAATCTAAAAGGTAATATATTTTGGAATTGGCCATATGCACTGAGTTTGTGGTAACTAAGTTTTACACAGTTACCCCTCCCAAAAGATAACACCTTAAGCTTATTATATGGTTATGGAACTATAAAGGCATTAGAATTTATACCAACATATTTCATAAGAAACTTAAGGCAGTGAGCAAATATACTGTACCAGAAAGAGAAAATATAATTGATCCATTTTCCACTGAATCTGAATATCGAACTTTGTGGCTTCGATTTTCTAGGGCAGTTGCAACTTCATAACTCTTTTTTAAAAAAATTCAGAAATACAAATTTAAAGCATGCTTACAATTTTATTAAAGCTAAAGAAAACATTAAAAGTTTAATAGGTTATTATTTATAACTACCACTTAAAGATATGATCATCAAAAGAGAAATAAATATGCTTTCCATGGAGAAAAAGCTTTAAAAAATGCAAAAACATTTAGTTCTACTAAAACATTTATTTCAAGTTAGGGAGTGAGTTATGTACTACAGTTATGTTACTTAGGAACAGAAAAGACAGCATTAAACTGTATAAACCAGAGCAAATGTAAACTTTTTCTTTTTTAGAGACAGATGAAGTCTCATTTTGTTGCCCAGGCTGACTTCAGATTCCTGAGCTCATGCAATCCTCCCAAAGTAGCTGGGACTATAGGTGTAAGCCACCACACCCAGCTGCAAACTTCATTTTAAAAAACAACCTGGGCCGTGGCTCACACCTGAAATCGCAGCACTTTGGGAGGCCAAGGTGGGCGGGTCATTTGAAGTCAGGAATTTGAGACCAGCCTGACCAACATGGTAAAAACCCAAAATTTGCTGGGCGTGGTGAGGCATGCATGTAGTCTCAGTTACTTGGGAGGCTGAGGTAGGAGAATCACTTGAACTTGGGAGGTGGAGGTTGTAGTGAGCCGAGATTGTGCCGCTGCACTCCAGCCCAGGTGACAGAGCAAGACTCTACCTCAAAAAACAAACAAACAAACAACTTGGAGGCTAGGCATGGTGACCACGAGACCTTGGAGGCCAAGGCTGGTGGATCATTTGAGTCCAGAAGTTCAAGACCAGCCTGGGCAACATGGCAAAACTTTCTCTACAAAAAATACAAAAAATTAGCTGGGCGTGGTGGCACATGCCTGTAGTCCCAGCTACTCACAAGTTGAGGTGAGAGAATCACTTGAGCCTGGGAGGTTAAGGCTGCAGTGAGGTTAAGGCTGCAGTGAGCCGTGACTGCACCACTGCACTCCAGCCTGGGTGACAGAGACCCTGTCTCAATAATAATAATAATAATAATAACTTGGAGATAGATTCTGACATGCATTAATGTATAACTATGGAAAATAGGTGGTTGTCTATTTCTTAAATAATTGACAGAACCACATAGTGCCAGACATATACAATACCATCACAGAAGACAACCAATTTTACAATTCATCAATTTACATTACAGTTACTTTAGTATACTTTTAAAATGTTTTAAGCCTTAGGTGAGTCAGAAAACATGTAAGAAAACAGCTATAGGACTCTTGGTTTTAATACTAACCATTTCAAATATCACCTCATTTCCTATTCCACCCAGGCAATTAAATCATATTTCCCACAATACTAAAATCTAGGATTAACAGTTTTTCCTGATAAGATAAAACTTAAATTTGGCCAGGCACAATGGCTCACACCTGTAATCCTAGCACTTTGGGAGGCTGAGGTGAATCACTTGAGCCCAGGAGTTTGAGACCAGCCTGGGCAATGTAGCATGACCTTGTTTCTACCAAAAATTAAAAAATAAATAAAAATAATAAATAAAACTCAAACTTGATAGTTTCCAGACAGATAAAAATCTCTTAGGTAGATTAATTTTATTTTCTATTTTGCCTCAGAATATGTATGTTTTAAGCACACAGGCTGAAATTATGTGTAAAATACATGCTTCCTTTCTTTTCTAAAGAGTATTTTGTGTCACTCAGACAGATCCTGACCTACAGTTTAACTGTGGCTCTTTTCTTCTGCTGTTCTAAAATTATATAATGCTTCCAGCAACGGCAGATTAAGTAATTTAGGCCAACCCGCCTACTGAACGCAACTAGAAAAGCTGGACAATCTTCTAAAATCTGCTTGAATACACCAGAGAGCTAACAGGATAGTAAAAAATTATAAGGTCAACATCTATACAGAAATTCAAATATATGAGCAAGCATTTAGGCCACTTTTTTCCCTGAGGGCATCTGCCAGCTCAGAAAGAGGCAGAAGAGAGGCTGAACAGATCTTTTGACGAAAATAGAACAGTTCTCACAGGGACTATAGCCCAGCTTCAAACCATTTCAATCCCTGAAATTGTATTAAGGTGATAACTGAATTACCAGTGCTTCCCAGCACCTTGTAGAAACACTCTCTAGAGCAACCTTTCTCAATCAGGTCTCCTCATCTGAATTACGGAACAAAGAAAATGATCTAAGTGACTATTGTGTCAATTCTCCCATAGCTAGAGGTACAGGAGACAATTTAATTCAGCACTCTAGATGTACAGGATACAACTTAATTCATCATATAAAAGAGATGCCTTAGGAGTTGGGTTGTCAGATTTAGCAAATAAAAACAACACAACACTCAGTTAAATGTGAATGCGTGACAAACAATGCAATTTTCAGTATAAGTATGTCCCACGTAATATTAGGGACATAATTATAGTAAATTCACTGTTTATCTGAAATTCAAACTTTTTATTTTTTATTTTTTTTGAGGCAGGGTCTTACACTGTCACCCAGGCTGGAGTGCAATGGCATAATCTTGGACCACTGCAACCTCTGCCTCCTGGGTTCAAATGATTCTCCTACCTCAGCCTCCCAAGTAGCTGGAATTACAGGCACACACCACCATGCCTGGCTAATTTTTGTATTTTTAGTAGAGACAGAGTTTCACCATGTTGGCCAGGCTGGTCTCAAAACTCCTGACCTCAAGTGATCCACCCACCTTGGCCTTCCAGAGTGCTGGGATTACAGGCGTGAGCCACCGCACCTGGCTGGAAATTCAAACTTGAGTGTCCTGTATTTTATCTGGCAACCCTACTTAGGGTATCAGGTATTTTATCTGGCAACCCTACTTAGGGTATCAGGAATTTAATTTTCTTACAGAATTAAAACCTCTCAAGGGGAAGATAGCATTATTCTAGGCTTCAAATTATTTCTACAATTTTTCAAATACAAATTCCAACATACAATAAAAAATAATCAGACATACAAAGGGACACAATTCCATGAAAGAAAACTATCAGAAACAATAGAGAACAGAAACAGGCCCACAGGGGATGCATGTAGTGAAGCTATCAAATACACACCTTAAAACAGCCTGTTTATTATGATCAAGGAGATAAAACATAGCTTAAGAATTTTGGCAAAGAACTGGAAGATATGTTTAAAAATGTAAAAAACATGAGTTAAGAAAGCTCCCTAAAATTTGATTCAAACAGGGCCAGGCACAGTGGCTCAGGCCTGTAATCCCAGCACTTTGGGAGGCAAAGGCAATGTACTGCTTGAGCTCAGGAGTTCAAGACTGGCCTGGGCAATGTAGTGAGACCCTATCTAATTAAAAAACAAACACATAATATAATAAAAAATCTGAGTCAAATCTTTAAAATAAAAAGCAGTGTATTAGGCAGACAAGTGAAGGAAGAAGACAAATATGAGAAGAGTATGAACAGAAAGAGTAACAAAGGTAAAGGCATTCAGACCTAAAGGTATGGTTCTTATACAGTGAGTGGGTAAGGTATATACAAGTCAGATAATTTGGGTACAATGTTAGGAATAATTGCTGGCAGATCATGAGCACCCATATATATCATGCCAATGAATTTCAATAATATCCTATTATCAGGAGGAACCAACTAAAAGAATAAAATAATGGAATGCTAAAAAAAATAATGAAGGTAAAATTAGAACGTATTGAATTGAGAAAACAATAGGTAAGTCCAAGAGCTGATTCATCAAAATGACCAGGAAGCTAAGTATAGATTTTTCAAAATACATTTCATAGAATATTAGTCCTATTAGATATTAAAAGATGCTCCTGGCTGAAATAAGACTGGGGAATGCTGAATATTATTTCATCTCTTTTGGGGGTTTTATAATGCATTTGAACATATTAAAGTCTCTGAATAATAGTGCAGTAAAAAGAAAACCTAACCAAAACAAAACAAAACAAAAAACACTTGTTTAACTTTGTTTATAGCAGCATCCAAAATAAAATCCATACAATACTCCTTCCTGCATATGTAACATCTATTAATAATCTTTAAAACTAGTATTATGTCAGCCAGGTGCAGTGGCTCACGCCTGTAATCCCAGCACCTTGGGAAGCCATCGTGCAGGTTGGGGTGGGGGCGGGGATCGGAGTTCGAGACCAGCCTGGCCAACGTGGTGAAACCCCATCGCTATTAAAAATACAAAAATTAGCCGGCGTGGTGGCAGGCACCTGTGATCCCAGCTACTTGGGAGGCTGAGGCAGGAGAATCACTTGAGCCTGAGAGGCGGAGGTTGCAGTGAGCCAAGATTGTGCCACTACTCCAGCCTGGGTGACAGAGCAAAGCTCCATCTCAAAAAAACAAAAAACAAAAACTAATATGTCTAGCACATCACTCATAAGAAAGAAAATGTAAGTAAAAACAGGAATGAAAAGGGGCACTTAATGGCAGTTTATTAGAAAATTTAAAGAATGACAATATGAAACTTTTCACCACAGAAATGTAAATTTCATAAAGTTCAACTTAATACATTTAAAAGCCTCTATAAAATGGGTAAATGTTTGTAAAAATATAATTTATGAAAATAGACTCACAATAAAGTATAAAACAAAATACAACAAAAACCATAAAACCACACCTTACTATGGAACAATCATTTCTTGCCCCTTCACTCCAGACATCAGCTGGTGTCCATAAGATAAATATTAGGGCAACGGAGAAGCCTTGTGAGCTGAGGGTTGTGAGCTGATCACCTACTCTCAGGCATTCAACTTTCCATCTCTCCCTCTCCAAACTGTAAGGAGACAGTCTCATTCCAATGCTGCCAAGGCTAGAATATCAGTTTCTGGTTCTTTAGCTCTCAAAAAGCCTTAACTAATATATATCTGCATATCTTTACTGTTTCTGGAATTCCTTAACATCTCCATTAGAGTGCTTACAGAAAGAAAAAAAAAGAACTTTAGAAAATCTCCAACCTTCAAAGAATTAAGGAAGTAGGATGTTGAAAATGAACGCAAAAAGTCTATTTATTTATCTTTAAAATACATGTAGCTTATGCACTTCCTGCTCCCCACAACTAATTGTGGACAATCAAGCTAAGAAACTTTTAAAATATTGTTCCATATGAAAGCTGCTTTTAATTTTTTTAAGTTAAAGATCAGTGGCCCAAATGCCCCTTTACCTTAAGAGATGAGCTAATAATAATGGTGGTTGTCCATTTTATTTTTTCTTTTCCACTTTCAGCCATCTGTCTGTCTGTAGAGCACCCTAGCTTCTAATGGTGCGACAATCTGAGAAAATTAAGAACAAAAAGAATACAAAGAACTATCTGATGAATAAGTAAATTAAAGATGGAACTAAAACTAGGGTACTGGAGACATTTTAAAGAATATTTGAACATCAAAATTTGACAACAGAAAAAGTATCTGTCTTGTTATACATTTAGCTTATTCAATACTATGCTTCCCATTAACAAGTATCAAATCAATGATTCCCATTTCAGCACACTAAAGAAAGAGGACTTGCATCAAGAACATGTCTGAGGTTTTTATCCTACCTGCAAGCTAAAAAGTTAGCCTGCCAGAGTTTCACTTATACAGACAAAAGACAGACTCAGAGACAAAGGACAGTTTTTTACTCAGAGCAACAGCAGTATAGCCACAGTATCATTTTCTTGCACTAGTTCCTCAAGCCCAATTCCCACAGGGTGATGGGACAAAGGCCAGGTGACATGTGCACACACAGTGGGTTGCATTATAGGAAAGAAACCCAGAGCTTAGGAAACCTCAATCTCTTGTAAGCAAACCTGCCTTCTACTATGGCGAGAAATACTATATCTCAAATAGGGAATATGTGAGGTGGGACCTAAATATTTGCATTTTTTTTTTTTTTTTTTTTTTTTTTTAAACAGGGTCTCACTCTTTGACCCACAGGCTGAAGTACAGTGGTGCAATCCTAGCCTCAAACTCCTAGGCTCAAGCAATCCTCCTGCCTCAGCTTCCCAAGTAGCTAGGACTACAGGTATGCACCACCATGCCTGGCTATTTTTTTTTTGTATTTTTAGTAGAGATGGGGTTTTGCCCTGTTGGCCAGGCCGGTCTTGAACTCCTGGCTTCAAGCGACCTGCAACCTCCTGAAGTGTTAGGATTACAAGCATGAGCCACTACACCTGGCCAATATGTGCAGTTCTAAGAGGTACACAGGTGATGATGATGATTCTGGTCTGGGGACCACACTTTAAGAACCACTGCACTAAGAGAAGGAAAAGTATTCTGCAGAACAGCAACAACAATGCATCATACAGTGGCAACCAGGTATACAATAAAATAAAATTGCATTTAAGTTCAGCATGCTAAAGTTTATAGTATACGTATCTGAGGTGAGAAGAAAGAAAATCACCATAAACTTAGTAGCATAAAATGGAATCTCACTGTGCTCTAAATTTGCTACTTTTCTAATTTCATTGAGACTGAAAACCCTGAAGTCATGTTTCCACTTGTCTTCTGCCCATTTTCCTTTAGTTTTTTCTTTTTCTTATACATTTGTAGGATTTCTTTATATATTATAGATATCAGTCCTTTGTCAGCTATGTATTTTCTACCTGTTTGTGACTTGTCTCCCCTCCTTCTTTAGGGTAATTCTTGATACACACAAATTATTATTTCCAATGTAGTCAAATTTATCAATTTTTTCATTTATGGTTAGTGGGTTTTGTTTCTTATTTAAGAAATCTTCCTGGGCAGCCATCTTGCTCTTGCTGCACACTGAAATTGGAGGACCTTCTCTGCTTCAGATTAACCAACAGCATAAATCAAGAAAAGTTAGCCAAACTTCTGGATCAGGTCCAGACTGGCGGCAAGGGTACGGCTCACAGAAAGAAGACGGTACAAAGAACAGCTACAGCTGATGACAAAAAGCTGGAGAAGAGCTCCAAGCTGCCCGACGGCCAGGTCATCACCATCGGCAACTAGCGGTTCCGGTGTCCGGAGGTGCTGTTCCAGCCTTCCTTCCTGGGCATGGAATCCTGCGGAATCCACAAGACCACGTTCAACTGCGTCATGAAGTGTGATGTGGACATCTTCAAAGACCTGTACGCCAACACAGTGCTGTCCAGCGGCACCACCATGTACCCGCACATCGCCAACAGGATGCAGAAGGCAATCACTGCCCTGGCACCTGGCACCATGAAGATCAAGATCATTGCGCCCTGAGAGCGAAAGTACTGAAAGTACTCAGTGTGGATCGGCGGCTCCATCCTGGCCTCACTGTCCACCTTCCAGCAGATGTGGATTAGCAAGCAGGAATATGACAAATTGGGCCCCTCCATTGTTCACCACAAATGCTTCTAAATAGACTGTGAGCAGATGCAAAGCTTTTGCTGCATTGGTTAATTCAGAAGTATAAATTTGTCCCTGGCAAATGCATATATCACAAATCTGGAATAAGCCTTTGAAAAGAAACTGTCCTTGAAGTTAGTATCTGATATCAGCACTGGATCGTAGAACTTGTGGCTGATTTTGACCTTGTATTCAAGTCAACTGTTCCCCTTGGTATTTGTTTAATACCCTGTACATATCTTTGATTTCAACCCTTAGTACATGTGGCTTGGTCACTTCGTAGCTGACGTAAGAACATGCTTGTGGAAGACAAGTCTGTGGCTTGGTGAGTCTGCGTGGCCAGCAGTCTCCGATCTGTGCAGGGTATTAATGTGTCAGGACTGAGGATTTCTCTAGAGGCTGGCAAGGGCTCCTGAATTAGTTGTTTCTGTCCTTTCAATCAGACAATCTGGAGAGTCACAACTGTATCTAGAAAAACTGCCAGAAGCAAAAGTAAATTCCGTATGGAGGAAGATACCATCCAGAGCCTCAGGTTACAAATTAGTGTTATAATTTTGCAATCATAACATCCAGCACACAATAAAAAAGTCCTCAGGCATACAAAGAGTTAAGAACAGACTGAAAACCAAGGGGGAAAAGCTGACTGTAAAGAAGAGACCAAGGGGAGACTGAAGTACTGGCATTGTCATATCCAGACTATAACTGATTAATTTGTTCAAAGCAATATATGACAATTGGAGCATTTTGGCAGAAAATTTGAAACTGCAAAAGTAAATAAAATGGAAATTCTGGAAATGAAAAAATATCAAAATTGGAAACAATTCAATGGATAGGCTAAAGAGCATATTACACACAAGTGTGGAATGTAGGTCAGAGGAAAATATCCAGACTGAGGTAGGTTAAGCAAAAGGATAAAGAACACAGAGAAAAGCATAATACACATACAAGGCATTATTAGGCTTGTGAAATGGTCTAACACAGAGATAACTGAAGTTTGAGAAAGAGAAAAGAGAATGGAGCAGGACCAATACATAAAAATAGAGTGACCAAGTCAATTTTCCAAAATTGACTAAAGACATCAAGTTGTAGGTTCAAGAGCAATAATAAATCTGAACAGATTAAACTAAGCAACAGATTAACAAGGTAAAACTGAAAACCAAAAAAAAAAAAAAAAAAAAAAATCTTCAAAGGAGCCAGTGAAGAAAAGGTGTATTATTTATTTATTTTTTATTTTTTATTTTTTTTTATTTTTTTGAGACGGAGTCTGGCTCTGTCGCCGGGGCTGGAGTGCAGTGGCCGGATCTCAGCTCACTGCAAGCTCCGCCCCCCGGGTTTTACGCCATTCTCCTGCCTCAGCCTCCCGAGTAGCTGGGACTACAGGCACCCGCCACCTCGCCCGGCTAGTTTTTTGTATTTTTTTAGTAGAGACGGGGTTTCACCGTGTTCACCAGGATGGTCTCGATCTCCTGACCTCGTGATCCGCCCGTCTCGGCCTCCCAAAGTGCTGGGATTACAGGCTTGAGCCACCGCGCCCGGCCAGGTGTATTATTTTTAAAGGGAAACAGTAAACTGAAAACTGACTTCTCAAAAGAAACATGGTAGCTAGGAGGCAACTGAATAATAACTTTCAAGTACTGAAAGAAAATAATTGTCAACATAGGATTTCATAGCTGAGATTAATATGTTTTTAAAATGAAGGAGAAATAAAGAAAAATTTTATGACAAAAATAAACCAGAGACTTCATCATCAGTTGACCCACACTTAAAGGAGATACCAGGAGAAGTTCTTCAGGCACAAGGCAAATGATCCCACATGGAAGCACAAAGATGCCAGAGTAAATGAAGACTAATGGAAAGGAGAAATGTAAATACGTGGGTAACTCTAAATCAAGAATGACTACAAATAAGAACAATAATATATAATGAAGTATAAAATAGATGTTCAATTAAAATATACAACAATAGCAAAAAAAAAAAAAAAAAAAAGGAGACACGATGGTAACTGTACCTAAGGTGCTTTAGGTCCTTGAAGTGGTAGAAGTACTCACTTATACTGGATCTTGATAAGTCAATCATGCATTTTGTAATTTCTGAGTTAATCAGCAAATTATAGTTAAAAAAAACTCAACAAGGTAAGAGAAAAACAGATTTAAAGCAAGCAAACAAACAAAAACACTTCAGAAGTCCAAAAGCAAGAAAGAGAGAGAAAAAAGAACATACAACTTGAGGGACAAATAGAAAACAAATAGTGACATGGCATATTAAACCCAAATACATTAGTATCTACAAGTAAGACTAAATTCTACAACTAAAAGAAAAGATTGCCCCAAATGACAGGGAAAAACCATATGCTGCTTACAATAAAAACACTTTAACTACTAGGATATAAAAAGGGTGAAAGTAAAAGGATGGGAAAACATATACCACACAACCATTAACCAAAAGAAAGTTGCTACCATATGTTAACTTGCATCCACGTTAAGAATGAAGAGAACTGTATAAGTGGTAAATAGATGCATAAATGTAAGACTAAATAAGTATGTATTTTCCTCAGTTCTCCTCTTAATTTCTCTAAAAGATGAATATATAAAGCAGTAATTATATTATTGGGTCAAGTGTGTATGTGTGTGTATGTGTGTATGTATGTGTGTATGTGTGTGCATGCATGCACGTATGTGTGCATATGAGTATATTGGGAGGAAATGGAGCTATATTGGTGCAAAGTTTCTCTATTTTTCCATAATTAAATTAGTGTTAATCTGAAATAATAAATTAAGATGCATATTATAGTATCCAGAGAAGGTACTAAGAAAAATAACAGAAAAAATTTAAAAGTCAGAGGAATCAAAGTGGTTTACTACAAAATATTCATATAACACAAAAAAGGTAGTAAAGAAGGAACAGAAGAACAAAAAAGACATGAGACATCTAGAAACTAAATAGCAAAATGACAG